ATCTATGCAGTGTTCCACTTGATAGACATCACTCCACTGACACCAAGAATCCATCCAATGCTCCGCTCACTGTACACCACTCCACTGACACCTAGAATCCATCCAATGTTACACTCACTATACACCACTCCACTGACACCTAGAATCCATCCAGTGTTCCGCTCACTATACACCACTCCACTGACACCTAGAATCCATCCAATGTTCCGCTCACTATACACCACTCTACTGACACCTAGAATCCATCTAATGTTCCGCTAAATATATATCGCTCCACTGACACCTAGAATCCATCCAATGTTCTGCTCACTATTCACCACTCTACTGACACCAAGAATCCATCCAGTGTTCCACTCACTATACACCACTCCATTGACACCTAAAATCCATCCAATGTTCCGCTCCTTATACACCTCTCCACTGACACCTAGAATCCATCCAATGTTCCACTCGTGATACACCACTCCACTGACACCTAGAATCCATTCAATGTTCCACTCACTATACACCACTCCACTGACACCTAGAAACCATCCAATATTCCGCTCACTATACACCACTCCACTGATACCTAGAATTTACGCGGTGTTCCACTCGCATACACACTCCACTTATTCCTATAATATATATATTGCGTTCTACTCACTATTTGGCATGCTAATGCCTAGAATTTATGTCGTGTTTCACTCACTTCACATCACTCCACTGACACCTAGAATTTATGTCACTGTATCACTGTACATACTCCACATATGACTATAATTTATGACGTTCTACTCCCTATATGACACGTTAATGTATGCGGTGTTTCACTCACTATATGCCATTTCACTAATACCTAGAATCTATTTGATGTTGTAATCGCTACAAGCCACTCGACTAACACCTAGAATATATTTTGTGTTCTACTCGCTACACGCTACTCCACTATTACATATAATCTATTTGGTGTTGTACTCGCTACACGCCACTCCACTAACACCTAGAATCTATTTGGTGTTCCACTCGCTACACGCCACTCCACTAACACCTAGAATCTATTTGATGTTCTACTCGCTACACGCCACTCCACTAACACCTAGAATATATGTGGTGTTCCACTCGCTACACGCCACTCCACTAACACCTAGAATATATTTGGTGTTCCACTCGCTACACGCCACTCCACTAACACCTAGAATCTATTTGATGTTCCACTCGCTACACGCCACTCCACTAACACCTAGAATCTATTTGATGTTCTACTCGCTACACGCCACTCCACTAACACCTAGAATATATTTGGTGTTCCACTCGCTACACGCCACTCCACTAACACCTAGAATATATTTGGTGTTCTACTCGCTACACGCCACTCCACTGACACATAGAATCTATTTGGTGTTCCACTCGCTACACGCCACTCCACCAACTCCTGGAATCTATTTGATGTTCTACTCGCTACACGCCACTCCACTAACACCTATAATCTATTTGATGTTCTACTCGCTACACGCCACTCCACTAACACCTAGAATGTATTTGGTGTTCCACTTGCACCAATCCACTCTACCAACACCTGGAATATATGTGATGTTCTACTCGCTACGCGCCACTCCACTAACACCTAGAATGTATTTGGTGTTCCACTTTCACCAATCCACTCTACCAACACTTGGAATATATGTGATGTTCTACTTGCTACACGCCACTCCACTAACACCTAGAATGTATTTGGTGTTCCACTTTCACCAATCCACTCTACCAACACCTTAAATATATTTGGTGTTCTACTCGCTACACGCCACTCCACTGACACCTAGAATATATTTGATGTTCCACTTTCACCAATCCACTCTACCAACACCTGGAATATATTTGGTGTTCTACTCGCTACACGCTACTCCACTATTACATATAATCTATTTGGTGTTCTACTCGCTACACGCCACTCCACTAACACCTAGAATATATTTGATGTTCTACTCGCTACATGCCACTCCACTAACACATAGAATCTATTTGGTGTTCCACTCGCTACACGCCACTCCACTAACACCTAGAATATATTTGGTGTTCTACTCGCTACACGCCACTCCACTGACACATAGAATCTATTTGGTGTTCCACTCGCTACACGCCACTCCACCAACACCTGGAATCTATTTGATGTTCTACTCGCTACACGCCACTCCACTAACACCTAGAATGTATTTGGTGTTCCACTTTCACCAATCCACTCTACCAACACTTGGAATATATGTGATGTTCTACTCGCTACACGCCACTCCACTAACACCTAGAATGTATTTGGTGTTCCACTTTCACCAATCCACTCTACCAACACTTGGAATATATGTGATGTTCTACTCGCTACACGCCACTCCACTAACACCTAGAATGTATTTGGTGTTCTACTCGCTACACGCCACTCCACTAACACCTAGAATGTATTTGGTGTTCCACTCGCTACACGCCACTCCACTAACACCTAGAATCTATTTGGTGTTCTACTCGCTACACGCCACTCCACTAACACCTAGAATCTATTTGGTGTTCCACTTTCACCAATCCACTCTACCAACACTTGGAATATATGTGATGTTCTACTCGCTACACGCCACTCCACTAACACCTAGAATCTATTTGATGTTCTACGCGCTACACGCCACTCCACTAACACCTAGAATCTATTTGGTGTTCCACTTTCACCAATCTACTCTACCAACACTTGGAATATATGTGATGTTCTACTCGCTACACGCCACTCCACTAACACCTAGAATGGATTTGGTGTTCCACTTTCACCAATCCACTCTACCAACACCTGGAATATATTTGGTGTTCTACTCGCTACACGCCACTCCACTGACACCTAGAATATATTTGATGTTCTACTCGCTACACGCCACTCCACTAACACCTAGAATCTATTTGATGTTCTACTCGCTACACGCCACTCCAGTAACACCTAGAATATATTTGATGTTCTACTCGCTACACTCCACTCCGCTAACACCTAGAATATATTTGATGTTCTACTCGCTACACGCCACTCCACTAACACATAGAATCTATTTGATGTTCTACTCTCTACACGCCACTCCACTGACACATAGAATCTATTTGATATTCTACTCGCTACACGCCACTCCACTAACACCTGGAATATATGTGATGTTCTACTCGCTATACGCCACTCCACTAACACCTAGAATCTATTTGGTGTTCCACCCGCTATACGCCACTCCACTCTCTCGTTTACAGATTTCCTACTTTTATTCCCATTCATATGAAGTGACCAATGGAAAGAGAGCATACGCTTTCCCTAGATTGCTTATCATCGACTATATCATAGTATGTAACGTTGGCATGATTAGATATTGGGATGTTACTAGAGGAGTGGCGTATATCGCGTGGATTCTAGTCTAATGGTATATACCATTAGATAAGCCTCACAATCGACACGTACATATACTCGTTCATAATAGTGGCAATGTGTATTGCCAGTGATAGTTTGTAAATAGTCGTGGCTGCTGAAGACAGCCCTATGGCTGACTTTCCCAGACCACTATAACGCTACGTTCAGGTTTTTAAAATGACTCAATCAATTTAACGCGTAACTTGATATCTAAGCAATTTTCATTATAGCATTAAAGTAGCGGCACGTAATAAATTATTCATGGTAGAATGCATGAGCGGTATATATGCAATACATAAAACAGTGAAAGCATTGCCAAACATTGGCAATTAATGTCATATTATACCTGTATGCCCATTACTTTATTACGTCGTTGTCTTTTAGGTCGACCGACATACCATTATTATGACGTAATACTGAAACACTGTTACGTAAGCCTCTGAAAATCGTGCCATATAGTAAATAATGAACATTAAATCAGAATCTTAGAACTCTTTTATTTCATGTTTCATTATTATATTATATTGTGATTTGATGATCAATCATCAATTTTTCAAAATGGGTTTGATTTGTTTTTCATGATAAAAAAGGAAAACGATGATCATTATGCTTTCTAGATTTATCTCAGTAAAATTAAAGTCGCTCCTCACCAAAAGAAACCGATTTGATTGAGAAATTCGTTTAGCTTGTGTGGGTGTATGTACACTGTTGTTAACAATTGTTATTATAGGATTCCAGCCTATAGGTTGTTTTTTGTAGTTTCTCAGTACAAAATGCAACGACATTTGGTAAAATGAACAGTTATGAGAGTTTCAAAATTGGACTTTACCTGATTGATTACCTAAAAGTTAATTAAACACAAAATTACAAATGAAATAAGATTGTTTGAAATCAGTTACTGTTTCCGCACACAATAACAAGTATCAAAACAATACGAATGTAGTTCTAGACTTGTTTTATTTCATCGTTAAAAGGTTATGTTTGCATGGATTAAACGTTGCGTTATGGGTGTAACTAAGGCGCCGTTGGTTGAACAGGTCACTCTTTTCAAGTGCATTTGAGCATTTCAAATTGTTCAAGTTCATGTTGTACACTAGATGAAAGTTCAGATATATATTACAATTACTATTTACTGGCAATGAATTGCTATTGTTACGAACCGACCGTTTGACACAATAATAGCATTATCGCCAGGTAAGCATAAACAAAACCATGATATCTCATACTGCAACTTGATACCCACAATGCGATCGTTCACAGCAGTATACACAATTAGCATTGTAGTTTATCAACTCCCTGACCACCGAGTTTTTTTTTCATTTAAAATTTAATTCCGCATGGATTATTCATCATTCACCACCGATAGTGGTAATGTATTAGCGCATGCGCAGTTACATGAATCGACAATCTGAGTTTGCCGAGTTCGGTTTGTGAGCGCTTGTCTGAGTGTTGCGCTATTACAGTTTTCTCCATACACACTATCTTCGCCATATTAGGGCAGCGGCAAGACTTTTCCATGTCGTTTCGTAGAGTTTTTGGAATGTGCGAAGCCATATGATAAATAATAATCATCTTTGTCGTTTAACTTTGGCTGGCGATGGATCTATCAAACTAACCACAGTTATCTGAATGTTTGTCTGTCTCTAGGTGCTACTCAGTCGTACAAATCTTCGCATATCGGCCTCGATGACGTGATGGTTAATCTGTGTGTATATAAGACATTTAAACGTCAGCCGTTGTTTTAATCCGGGACGCATGTAAAGAAGAAAGTAAGCCGAGACTATTTTATACAATTTAATGAAGACTCTGAGCAGATATGTACGCGATCTCTCTAGCTTATTTAATTATATTACAAGCAATGTTACTATCCCTGATGTCGCTTGGAAGCTTACATGCTGCCCCCTCTGCGGTGCGAATAGGTAAGTTTCAAGTTCAATACATTTTCACTGGTGTACCGACACTCACAAAAATACGGTGTATACTTTTTTTCCACTGCGTTGTTAAAACCATAATCACAGGGCCTAATCATAATACCTTCACTAGTTACCTCTCCGTCGATGTGTTCTGTGCCCACCTTTCTACTTTTTCACAACAACGAAAACAAAAATGTGCAAGTTTTTTTTATTTCCAGGCTGTTTGGAAATGTGTACTGTGGTAGAAGCGTGAGCGCTATTACCGTTGGTATATTGTCGGGCGCGTATACGGAACGTAATAAGATATCTTGAAAATGATATGGTGAGAGGGTTGTCGCGACCTTTCCCGGCAAATAACCCCCATAGACTATTTATGTTTTCGTCGTTACGCGTGCCGGTGAATTCGAGTATGTTTTTATATTTTAATAATAGATCATCTGAATAGGAATCAATGTAGAATTCAATACCTTTTTTGCTGACTAATTGATCCGAAATTTTAATATAGAATATCAGTAGCAGTATACACGTTCTCTGGACAGCATGTGATCAAGTCGTTACTTGTTAGTGAAAGTGAGATTTTATTTTTTTTGTGACGCAAGTGTGCTCAGTCTCTATTCGTGGTCGCCGGAATATTTAATCCTGATGTGTATTCCATATTTCTTTGGAAACTGAAGAAAAAACGAACATACAGACAATTTATTCGTTAACTGCTTTTGAAGCAAACATTTCACAAAATGAAGTCGCGTGGTTGAGTTTCGTATTTTTTCGGTCAACTTGTTTCAAAACAAAGACATATGTAGACAAATATGTACAAAAGAAGAAAACGTTGCACCAAAATCCTGACTGCCAAAGACTGCGGCGTTCTACCTGAGTGATGCAAACCACGTGACCAGCGGTGTACATTTTATCGTGTATTGTATACAAAATGAAATATCGTTTTATTTATTATTTGGTGACAGATGTTTCTTTTCTTTTTTGTTATTTGAAATATAATACCATAGTATACAGCATATAATTGACCCTGTGAAATATAAAGACTTCATATGACGGCCTCTTCGATCACATAGTTGATTTGTTTATTACCCAGATGTATCAGGTAGTAGTCGATGGTTTGGGGGTTAATACTGGAATCAATTGATTAAATTAATACTCATCATTATCTGCAGAAAATAAATTCACTGGAATGAAAACCCATCAACATGACCTCGCTACCCCGGTCTCCGCATCGCATGAATAATTATGCTGTCCAGTAGTTCCGATTGTCATCTGAATCACGATGCCTATAACTATAAGGGCAGTGTACGATGTGCTTAGCACTATGATTACCTTTATCGAAGTCTGTGTTTCAGACACTTTACGTCATCGGTCCAATAACAATTGACCACTATGCGTAGCGCATGTTTCCATAGTGATCAGGGCAAATGACGGATTGGTGTTAACCTGCCAGATATGTATCATAGAATATAAGGTGTCTGTCCGGGCGCCGGTCAAAGGGTCAACCTCTAAGAACACAATCTATTCTCAAGTGTGTATTCAAATCTCGCGTGAGTCTAGTGTTTCCGAGTCGACATAAGCATAGATGAGTCGAAGCATATCTTAGGAAGCCTGAATTTGAATACAGTAGCAGTGTATTTGAAAGGTGACCCATCATCATTTAGTACAATATACATATTTAATTCATTTTTCATTCTTTTTCCATGTTTTATTGATTTATGCTACTTATTTTTTTCTTAATATCGCCAGTTTTTTCAATAGCAGTTCTTTTTAAATATTTTTTGTGCTTTAGATAGTAATGTTTGTAGAATTTGTATGTTTTAACATTTGTATCTATAAATTGAATGTGCAAATAGTTTGACAATGCTCAAACCACTCTAAATTAGTCAATGAATTACAAAATTCTAAATGTTTCGAATGTACAATTATATTTACTAGAAGTATTCACTGTGGAATGTTGCCCGGCCGAATTGTCATAACATGAATTGAGAGGCATCTTGGTTATATATGTATATATATTTAACCATCTGCGGAAATAAAACAATCTTTTAAATCTAAAAAGTTGAAATTAAAATATTAAATGATATTAAAAAAGTGGTACACAACTGTCAACTAATCACAATATCACAGTGCTAAATCCAATGTCATCAATTTGGCTGAGAGTTTATGCTATGCGAAACGACGCATACACGTGTATAGCACCTAGGACCACTGTAACGTTGTGTTTACTGGAGAATTGCACGCACTGCACTACACTGCGCGGCACAGGTGAGAACATTCCGTATTCACTGTCAGGTTATTATTTTAAATAGGTCAACCGGAAATCAGTTAATGAAATATCAATAATTAATACAGCTAACTAATTACTAATATGACACACATCCTGCGCAGTGACGTAATGAGTTTACGTTGTAAATTAATGAAGTATTCACACAGTATACTATTGTACGATTTAGTTATATACTTTAATAAGGACTACAAATAGAATAATTGTCCTTGAGAAAGTTATCGAATGCGTCACTCGCTACAAAAATCGATATTGATTGCGTTGAATACATGACATGGCATTAAAGTTAAAACGACCGTAAGTATGTATGAATGTACGTCTTCCGGGCACACTTTCTTCACTGTCAGTCAATTCGAAAAAATAATAATTGTATTCTTCCAAAAAGTTAAATTTGTAGAAAATTACATAAAAACCAGCGTACTACGTAAGAAAAAATGCACGTGAAATTGTTCATATGTTACGTAAAAACTTCAGGTGACATTGTTCATATGGCACAGGATAAACAGCTGCACGATTTGGTTCGGTGTAAACAATGTATATTACAGGCGTTATATACACGTTACAGTGTCCTGAAAACGGCTCTACGCGACGACGCATCGCCGCCCTTTAACGAGTTAGGGACTGCAACTAAAATGAAATACGGTCAGGCAAAGAATGGTTCAGAATTCGGATATCGTTCTTTTCAAATAGTGCATGTGTATTTGTCGCTACAAAGCGCAATAATTCAGTCCCACAGCAATGGTTGTTTGTGTTAGTGTGCTATGTTAATATGAGAATTAGCTGTGGACATCTTCTTTCGCATCACTGACAGGCAGAATGCTGATTTTCTCCCATGGGTATCACATCGACAGTATACAGGTGGACAACAAAATTGCTGTTTGATGTTTGTTTCCCATCAGAACATGTTGGTGACAATTTCATACATTTGAATGATTCCATGTTATTTAAAATTATCGAACTTGTTGGAAAACAAGTCTTAATTTGAGTGTAACCATAGCAACGTAATAGATTTGGTTATTTATGAAAACAGAAAAGTGGCCCTGCTTTTCGAGAGAGGCATACTGCGCTCAGGGTGACTCTCGCTTCTCATGAGAGGCATACTGCGCTCAGGGTGACTCTCGCTTCTCATGAGAGGCATACTGCGCTCAGGGTGACTCTCGCTTCTCATGAGAGGCATACTGCGCTCAGGGTGACTCTCGCTTCTCATGAGAGGCATACTGCGCTCAGGGTGACTCTCGCTTCTCATGAGAGGCATACTGCGCTCAGGGTGACTCTCGCTTCTCATGAGAGGCATACTGCGCTCAGGGTGACTCTCGCTTCTCATGAGAGGCATACTGCGCTCAGGGTGACTCTCGCTTCTCATGAGAGGCATACTGCGCTCAGGGTGACTCTCGCTTCTCATGAGAGGCATACTGCGCTCAGGGTGACTCTCGCTTCTCATGAGAGGCATACTGCGCTCAGGGTGACTCTCGCTTCTCATGAGAGGCATACTGCGCTCAGGGTGACTCTCGCTTCTCATGAGAGGCATACTGCGCTCAGGGTGACTCTCGCTTCTCATGAGAGGCATACTGCGCTCAGGGTGACTCTCGCTTCTCATGAGAGGCATACTGCGCTCAGGGTGACTCTCGCTTCTCATGAGAGGCATACTGCGCTCAGGGTGACTCTCGCTTCTCATGAGAGGCATACTGCGCTCAGGGTGACTCTCGCTTCTCATGAGAGGCATACTGCGCACGATGATTACCCTCTATTCTCTTGAGTGGTATATTGCGCAGTAGAGCGAATTTTGTTCCTCGACTGGTATACGGTTAACGTCTCAGTGCTACGTCGCGCCAATATAATACTAATAACAATATGTAAACCAAAATATACGACGGATAAGGACGATTACTCTACGTTTACGAGTATATAATAGAAATACCACAACGGTTGTGTGATTTTATATATAGCATCGTCTCTAACATGATCGAGTTTTAATATATGCTATTTCGCATAACATATCATGAGGACAAAATTACATACAACAATACATGTATCAGTCCGGCGACCTTTGCCAATAAGCACTACACTATGCAGCAAATACCGGATCCCATGCTCAAAAATATATCGTTGTTTAATACCTGGGCAGTTATTTAATACCTGGATAACATGTAACGGGCAGTTATTTAATACCAGGATTCCCTGCACAGGGCATTCAATAATTGAGTATCAAGCACAGGGTAGTTGTTTTTGTTGTTGTTGTTGATCTGAAAGCACGAAGACAAACAAAACAATTTTATCGAAATTTCTTCGCAGCAACCATGCAATTTTATCAAGCGATCAAAAAGCGGTGATAACAAATTCGCCTAGTTCGGGATGCACACTAGTAATGTGTACTCCGATGAAATGCAGCGAAGAATGACACCTGATTGCTGAGTTTGTCACGGGGATTTATTTGAAACAAATCATTATTTGCCATTACGAGTTCTAATTTTCAGTAGGCCGCCCATGGTCGTGATCGAGTTGTTCATTTAAACATATACGTTAAACTAGCCAGACAATCTCGCTTAACGAGTTCACTACTGCGAGGGGCGCCTTCTAGTACCGCGAACGAATACGGCATTGTTCTAACTGCGCGTATACTTTGGGACAATTTCGCTTAATTGCGAGAAAGGTTATGAGATCACATCGTACCGTGTGGTTGGGTATTAAACTGACTTCCTGTTTACCATTTGAAAGTTTCCGGGTTGAAATGTCTACACGTTCTGTTGAAGATAGAGATTTTTTTACGGAAAAAATTACTCCGAAGTAATACAATTAAGGAGCATAGAATTTCAATTGACGACAATAAGTGCATGTGCGTAATCAAACCAGATTGGTGTTAAGAGGCGAAAATGAAATGAACATGAAATGAAATTGACCAAAACTGACATTTATTAGGGGAAAATGACCTTTTAATTGGCACACAGACCGACAGGCGGACGAATCTCTACTGAATACGTTCCGCATTAGACTGATTACTAAGAGGAATCAGTTGCGACAAAGTAGGACGCGCGGTTAACGCTTGAATCCAAGGCCACCGTGACTTCTTTATATATATACATTTCTACTTATTAGACCACCCCGTGAGACTCCCCTAAAACTTCACAAATAAACTTCACTAGTATTGACTAGGAAGTGATGAGTGAGTGATATGGGCGTTTTAAACTGCCGGGGAACTCGCTGTTTATTGCGCCGTGCGTGCACGTAATATGAGCCCAATCATGTTATAATTATTTTTTTGTACGCAGATATGCAATGTGTCAATTACGAGTTCTCGTCTACTCTACTCCATACTCCAATAATTTCACGTTAAATAAAGCTGAATCGTTATTCATGTTACAGTGAATTTCATGAAGGCATGAATGTTTTTGATATGAATTATTTGTCAATGTTTAAATGACGGCCGAGAAAAAAACACGTAACGACCTCATGGCAGTAAATTGTCTAATTATTGGAGAAAACTTGTTGTGACACATGGTAAAGCGGGTTACAAAATGTCTATGAAATTCACTGTAGTCTCGTTCTCTATTCAAAAAACGATTCCCTGTGTGAGGTACCTACACTCACCCTCAGATTGAAAAATATTAAATAGACTAAATTAATCACGGTCTTCACATTTAAACAAATTCCCAAAACGGCAATTCGAAACGTTTAAACTGTATTCCGAAAAATGACCGTTTAATTGTGCCCTAAAACTAAGTATTTATTCCCACGCTCAATAATACAAAAGAGTAGTTGGCACAGGGACTTAAAATATAGATATTTGTGGAGCATGTTTAAATCGGTTTTTCATTATCCGCAATTTTGGTAAATTCAGGACGCATGTAAGTTGTTAGTATTCCATAATAATGATATATTTGCAACAAATACAAGGGTTTTATCGTGTGAAACACCATATACAATTTTGGAAACAATTATTCAAAATAATTGAAGTTATCTACATTGCATTTTGGAAAATCCCTAACACTCAACAAAGTCTCCTAAAAGTGAAATTCAATGAAATATTTTGAAATAATGTTTTGCCATCTTTTAATAGGTGTGATTCTTGACAGTCCATCCGAAAAGGAAGACGACATAATTCTCCTAGCAACAGAACAAATCAACACAGACGCTATCATTCTACCCAACACGCTGCTTGTAACGTCATTAAAAATAATAAACAAAGATGACACTTTTGCCGCTGTCCAGAAAGGTAAGATATCTTAAATGCTTAACTGGAATAGTGGAGCTTCATTGGTTAGAGATAAGTTTCGAATGTTGCAGTAATTTCGAGGACGAATTCCGCCATCGTTAATGTATAAGGCCATCCTTTGATGCCAGGCAAAACAACACTCACAGATACGTGGGACACTAAGGTTATGTAATGTTGTTATCTGTAGAAATAACGAAATGGCAGCTCACCCCATATCATAAGTTTGTATTATTTTGATACTTTTCGTGTTCATAAATACTTGATATCGATGCCAGCCCCCTGATGCACTAACTCTAGCATGGTCTTGTTAGTGTTAAAACGCCAAACCGATATATATTTTTATTCCACACACGTACTAATATTCGATACCGTTCTAAGCGGTTATTAAAACGTGCACGTGCTGTGCAAATAATACATTTCCATTGAATGCATGGAATTTGGAAAATGGATTTGTGTCTATATATTCATTTAATCATTTTCATATGCAAATATTGACGTGACATTGAATGTGAATCTGGGGATTCAATTCATTTGGATATGCTCAATGGAACATCATTGGTAACCGAAGAAAAGAACATATGTATTCGATGATGGGGATTATCATATTGTGATCGTAATATTAGGAATTAATGCATGTCTATATTCCTGGTAGAATTTACACTGCCCATACAACAAAAAATGCAATACAAATCAAAATGGCTGCCAGTTATTAATGTTGAGTTAAATGTTGACACAAAATGACCCTTATTGAGTACCCGTTATACATAATTGAATCGAATCGATCTAGAAGTTGATGTTATTCAATTCATAGAAACGATACTGCGAACGGCGATTAAAATTCATCCATATATCCTGCCACCCACAGTTTGTAAAACACAGTAATGGGTTTTGATGGATGGGAATAGGTCAAGTACATACTTCCCGCAAGGTCACGTGAACATGTATCCGGTCGGCTGCCTCACGCACCCAAAGTAGAACTCGGTGCCACGCGCCCTTATCTTGAAATACGAATTTCTATTTTGAACTTGGGTGGATGACTTTGATGTAACAGCCACTCAATTAACTCCTGGAAGGGATGGTAACAGACACTCACGATATCATATGCCACGTTATATGAGTGTAAGTGATACTCTAAACACTCACCTGAAATGTTGTTTCCAATAACGTCTGTGGATAGTGTATTTCACGTCAATACATGACAGATGCTATAATTGTACCGTAATGTGAAGTTGTATAATTACGTTTACTTTTGGCTAACGACCACATGAGGGAAAACGTCCAGCAAGGTACATATCTCACACTAACTTTAAACCTTAATTGATTAAATCTCATTTTGTACATTCCTTGTGACTTTTTATTATAATCAATTCAATTTATTAAAACGTTAACTATGTGATTAATACACCAGTTTAATCAAGTTTTAAGAACACGTCACCAGATGACAACCGACTTTATTCGTCATTATTGTACAAAAAGGCAAAATATGAAATATGACAATTAAACTTTCCACTTTAAAAGTTGGTAATTTATTTCGCATTGAATTATTTAGAATATTTTACTATTGAAATATTTATTTTGTGTACTTTGAATTGGTAATTATTTTTACGAATGATGAACTTACATATTCAGTAGGAATAACATAACCATCCGTAGATCGTTAAACAAGAGTCGTGTAGAGGAAATACAAGTTCATGAACACAAAAACACAACCAAAATACAGACAATTAAAAAAACACGAATTATGAAAGAATGATACATATATGTTTTTTGACATCATGCATAATATTATTTATACATAATATGCCATGTCTACTTTTATTATTCGTGTACGCATCATTGGAACACATTGCAGACTTTAGACTATGAATAAATTAACATAACTTAGACATCGACCAAGTAATTGACAACACGAGTTAACAGCGAGTTAGAGATAGCGTCACAGCTGGTGATAGATACTCTGCAGTAATAGTAGACATGTTATGCTGTCACTGGTCACAATTCCCCGCTGCAAGTTTCAACGTGTTGTTGAGAAGATAGAATTATCAAGTTATGAGCTTTGAAGTCAGGTGTGATCTTAGCTGCTAAGCGGTTAGTGTCAACAGATTGTTGATGGTGAAATTATATTGTTCTTGCCAAAATTGAAAAACAACCAGAGTATAAGTAGGCACATTCGCTGGAAAACATTCACGAAACCCCTCTGTCCTGTGGTGATACCTATACTAATTTTGGATAAACTTATATTTGGATAAAAATACTTGCAATTTCCATATGGCTTCACAAACATCTCCCAAGAATGTTTGACATAAAAATAAAGCTGAGATAGATGCTAGATTATATAATTATGTTAATCATATTGCAGGTGTATGTGCAAATCCAAATATAAATTGATTTGCTCTTCACTTGAAATAAACTGTATTGTGGTATGTGCATCTACAAGAGAGGGTTAATTTGTGCTCAGATAATGCAAGATAATATAAGATTCAACATCATTGTTCAGTAACAAACAAACATACCAAACCAAACCATTCACTGCCAAGTTAACTAGCTGCACACACATAACACAATGTTACAAACAGACCCGAAAACTCACTAAACCAACCATTAACCTTCTGTACACATGCAGTAGTTAGCTATATGTTAACTGGTATTTTGTATTCAAACAATAACGATATAATATTCATAACAGAGAAATGAGTATCGTGAGTATATCCTACTTTTTACAAATTCCAAAATGGCGAGTGGCAAAGCACTTTTTAAATCTCTTACAATCTATCCTTCAACATATACTATACAATTTATATGACAAACATTGCAAAGTATATACCTACATGTACAACAATTCCGATTATCTCAATGCAAATTTGAATTTTATGTTTCTGTAGCTATTAGAATGACAGACAGGAAGACATACAGACAGAAAGACACACACACACACACACACACACACATACTTGTATTGCAATATGTTCCGAGGACTACATTGGATTAACTTTTAATATAGTTGAATTAACTTTTAATATAGTTGCGATATGAACTCGATTAAAACGCGTTCCTATATAGGGTTGCGTTTTAATTGGAGTTTAATTAAACTCAATTACAATGCAATACAATGGAGAATTGCATTTTAATTAAGTTTAATTAAAC